ACTCCCAAAAACTCAAAATTTTAATTTTCGATGAAACTTCGCCTATAGAGGTAATCCGATGCCCTGATAACGAATATGACCTTCATTTTTGGTGTTGGCGCCATTTGGCGCCGATCGGCGCCAATTTGGCGCCAAGAGTGTTTTCACAAATTTGCTGAAAACTTGCGTTCAGGGGTTATTTGAGGTCCTGATAACGAATATTGGCGCCAATTGGAGCCAAATGGCGCCAACGCCAAAAATGAAGGTCATATTCGTTATCAGGGCATCGGATTACCCCTGTAGGCAAAGTTTCATCGAAAATTAAAATTTTGAGTTCTTGGGGGTGTAACAGTAGAATGGTTCTGGGGGTGTAATAGTAGAATAGTACCACTGGTTGCAATGATGTGAATGAACAGTGTTACGAATAGCATTAATAGGCTAACCTTGTTCAAAATGGCGTACAATTATTTCGTTACCTTCCTGGAGAGGAACATCCCATAGTGCTCACATTACCTTTTCGAAGAGAAAAACCAAATTTCAATTCTCTTTGTGCTATTGAAAATAGTGCGATGAATGCGAAGAAAGTGCACAATTCGGTGTTTTCAAAGTGATAAAAGACTCAGGAGAAATCGTAAAAAATGGGGCTGGACGAAAAGAAGACCAGAAAAATGAAGAAGAATGGTGTTCGGACGAGCCATAAATGTGTATCATTGCGCATATGTGGGTCCTGGTGCGAATAGCTGAACACAGTGAGCAAAAAAGTACCTTAGAATTCATTCACTCATAAGCATAAATTAACAAAAAAAAGCTAGTGACGAGAAATAGCCTAGCCTTTTCAGCCACGGGGAGTAAATTACATTAGGGATTGCGAAAAAAAGAATAACAGAGAATTAAAAAAGGAGAAAAACATCGCCTCTGTACTCGGCGATCAGCTGGATGTGTGTGTGTGTGGGTCCTACAGCGGTCACTGCAAACTGTATGCCCTAAACACTCGTCTGAGGTGACGTAGATCGAGGGGCGGGAAGTCGGTTGATCCGGTAACAGGGCCCCTGCTATGCCCTAACTGTTGAGTTTTTGAGCGCGAGATGGTCCTTCTTGTTACCCTTGGGAGTCATTGGGTATTCCTAAAGAGATAACTCAGAAACCATCTTGATGGTGAACCGCGCCTTTAACTTTATGCTACGAGGTAGATGGCGATCCACGTGACTCAATAATATTCACCGCCTTTGATCGCGCGCTTTCTTCATTTCGAGCTCTAAGGAGGCGTGAAAAAAAACACGGGTCGTCGAGTTGGGGGTTATCGTTAGAAGGACAGTGCTCGGTGTCCATGATGGAAGCCAATGAAATCTACAGGTTCATCTGCGTTTTGCCGACTTTTGCAGGGAGGTGGGCAGTTGAATAGGTTCTGAGTAATCGTCTCGCCGCACGCTACAGTCGCGGACTAATTGCCTCGCTATTACAGTTCTAGCTTTCTTCGTAGAGCTCGAAGAGCAGCTATTGACGCTAATTGACGACATTATGCAGACCTTACACCTTTTCCGATTGTACGAAAGCCGTGTGATCCGAGTGGTTTATAATGAAATTTCCACTGCAAGCGGCAATGGCAATTACCGCAACCTTGCACTCAAATTTTAAATCTTCTCTTCGTCGGCTGGGTTAACGCGGCACGCCATTCGGGTTAGAGATAGCCTATTCCAAATTTCTCGCCTTGTCAAATTCACACTGACCGCATAAATCCAGGCGCGACCGCTCGAAAATTTTGAAATCAGAAATATAAGTTTGCGCGGGAAGTGGAACTTAATAGTAGTCCAGTTTTCTCTATCGAGGTTCAGTCTTTGAAGCGTTGGAACGGGGCGAACGTCCATTGCGCGTGTCTGTCGAAAGTAGGTCACCCCGCCCACTTCGCGCGCGGTGCACCCCACTGAGGTCTGGGGAAGACATTACAGTACCACCAAGTGTGAGTGGAGCGAACGATTTGCATTTGTCTATATTATCTTCTCTTTGGCTGACTACCGTGAGGAAAGCGCAAATCGTATGCCCCGCTTACAGCTGCGACGTCTGCCAAGTATCGCGGGCTGACCCGCCGCATGCGACGGCTGCGGCGTGACCTAGTTTCGACGGACACGCGCAACGAAACGCACCCGAGACTCGATGGTTAGGGGTAGGCTAGGAGACTCGATGGTTTCTTTGAAAGGCGAGTTTGTATTAACGGAAACTATGAACCATTCAGTGTTAAAGCTTAAAAAATGAAGAAGGAGTGGAGCATAACCGGCCATGAGACTTAAAGACTGTAATGCTGCATGATCCACCAACCCGTGGGATATCGATTGATTCTGACGCCGTCGACGTTCACCCATGCCGGGGGACGGAACTTACGTGCGTCCGATGATGCGCGCGGCTAATTGCGCGGCGAAGTGCGGGGTGATTGGAACGACTCTGGCACCTATCGTTGGGGTCCAAATTTGAAGTAGAGTAGATTAGTAGTATCAGCTGACCCTACTAAACTACTCTACTCCAAGTTTGGGCTCCAATGGTAGGCGCCATAGTCACTCGAATCACCACGCACTTCGCCGCGCAACTTGCCGCGCGCATCCTCGGACGCAGGTAAGTGCCCATACCCACCCATGCCTTGTCATCCCGTCGCCCATCGCCCATCATCCATCTGCCGATCTAGCCATCGCCGACCATGAACGAAGCCATTTTGTGAACGACCATTGTGTTTTGGCTATCCTTTGTCACTTACTCTGAGTGTACCCTATCTCCTACCCTTCATCTTCTTCTGCAATTTCCTCTCCACCTAGAAACGTGTGATTTTTTAGGTGAAACTTGCTCGTCGACAAAGGTTCAGGCTTAGTCGTGATCTCAACCCATTTTTGATTCACTTTTTACAATTTACCACTGTTTCGAATTCAACGGGGTGATTCAACTGTCGAACGTTCACTTTATCATATGATGCTGTGAAGACCAAGTGACATTAATTCTGCTTGCTGAGCACTATGAACGGTAGAAGATCGTTAGTTATTATTAAATAGTACCGTCTGATATCATAGTGCTGAAGTGTGTCCTATCAGTATCTACTCACAGTTCAGCTCTAAGTTCTCAGTCTATCACATTTTCGCTTACTAGTGTGTGTATTTCATCCGCTCTGCAGTTTGGTGATGATTACTTGGTCAATTACGCCATAAGTCGTTTTTACACGCCATCAATACATCCGGGGCAGGAGGACATCTGTGCCATGATTTGCTTTTAGTGATATCTGTCTATTATCATCAACCTTCATTTCGAGCTCCCTCCTAACTCTTGCTACCACACTTTGCGGCGATTTATTTCACCACAGTGAGATGTTTTGACGACGGAACGACGTGCAGACAGACATACAAGCCGACAAACCGTAGCCCAAAAAACAAACCGACACTCCACTTCACTAATTTATGTCCGAAAAGCATGTGTAAGTTCGGGCTTTCTTGAGTTCAGCATACCCACGATTCCAAGATTCTATAGAGCGCATCTGAGGTTGTTTGTGTTTGCATGATTCTACTCTATGATTTCCCAGATCGCTGTGCATCTAACCCACGGTAGCTGTTTTCACCTAACTTCGCGGCAACACGGTTGTTCGGATCGATATCCTGCAAGTGTAGCAGATCGCACGATTCTGCAGTTCTGAGTAACATCATAAGGAATACGGCTAATCTGCTTCCATTCGGAGTTTCACCAACTCAGTCCGCCATTTATTTATTTTCCTCTTTCTCTCTCGTCCTTAATCATTTCATCATAATTTTGTCCAATCTATTGCACATCTAATTTCAGGTGAAAATGTAGTTGGGGGGTGTCAGCTTCCCTCTGTACTCTGCGTTTCTGACACCAGGCGGCAGGGTGTAGTGCAGTAGGAACGAAATTGTCGCGTCGCGCGAGAGGGAGGCCGCGCGCGAAGGAATGTATCAGAGTGCAGCGGCAAGTAAGAAATTGAGTAGCAAAACAATTAACAGTAGAATCACGTCATAAGTAATAATCACAGAGCGATTGAGCTGTATGAGGAACGCTAGAACTGTTATAACGAGGCAAATGGTTCGCGACAGCCGCGTGCGGCGGATCGACTGCACAAAACCGCCCCTACTGCCCGTCTCCCCCAGGCGGCAGACTGCATAGGGACCGCGCTAAAGCGCAGAGTTGGTTTCCCCCCTTCTAAAAGTTAAAGGGAGGAGCTCCGGGTGTGGGAGAGATGCTTATCTCGTGCAAAAAGCTGGGAGGGGTAATAATTTAACATCTAATTGGTTCACCCACCGCGGAGCTCCTTCCCTACCTTTAGAAGGGGGGAGCTCCGGTATGGGTGAGATTATTAGATGGGGTAAGAATTGATGATACGCAGAGCACAAAAGGGCCTGGCACCATCTAACTACATTTTCACCCTAATGAACCCACGAGCTCAGTGGCTATAATAGGTGCCGTTGTGACGCACATACTAGGGTTCATACAAGAAGTACGCTAATGAAGGGTCTTGAAACTGTTCTTCGCAACATTTCTTACAAGACCGTCATTCTTGCAGGTGAATCGCCATATTCGACGGGACCGGGCTCGTTTTCTATGAACAGCAACAAAAAACAGGCAATCGCTTTTCATTCGTCACAGTTTTAGAATTATTCCATTGACGACATATCCAGGATTATGAGTCCGGAGCTGATCCTAATTTCCTTTCGAAAGTCGGAGAATTGCCTAACGATTATAGATCTGATTGGCTTTCAGAGCTGGCTTTGCAGAACTCGGGTTTGTCGTGATTTCAACTGTTTTGGATAAGCTAACAAAGTGGATATGCACCTTTATCAATATTTGTTTAGATAGTATTATGGCAACAACTGCGAATGACAACGATTATCTAACTCTTGAAACTGTGCAGTATATCTTCACTGTATGTGTTCGTTTGCAACTTCCTCACGAAATACGATACTTAGCTGTGTTCATATTCACGAGGTCTGTACATCCTTTACTGTTGCATTCCTTATCAATAATTGTTTCATTGCAGTTTCATGCGCATACATTCAGCCCAAGTTCTCGATTTCTTGAGTTATGTGAAAATGAGTAGCTCTCGTCGACTCCGAGAATGGGAGAAGGTTGAAGCAAATCTTTCAAGGTACCTCCCTCCTATTCAGTCCTTCCTGTCGATGTATTTGGCTTGTGTTTACTTCGTACGAAAGCAATCTGCAATTGCGTATGGTTGCTTTCAGACTTCGACGTCCGTCCGTCCGTGCGTGTCGCGACGGCGGTTCTGGAAGTGTGTTGACAGCGTCGGATATCGATCGATACGGCATGACGGGATGATGAAATTAGTATTCCTCTTGTCTTGCGGTATCGATCGACATTCAGCGCTGTCAACACCGGTTTAGAGCTGCCGTTGCGCACGCCAGTACCTGTCTGGAACCGCCGTCGCGTGCCTGGACGTCGAAGTCTGAAAGCAACTTGCGTCCGAGGATGCGCGCAGCAAGTTGCGCGAAGAAATTCGTGGCTATTTGAACGACTTTAGTGCCCAAATTGGGACACCAACTTGTAGTAGAGTAGTTTAGTAGGGTCAGCTGATCTTACTAATCCCTACTACTACTAATACTGATCTGCTTCAAATTTGTGCCCCAATTATAGGCACCAAAGTCGTTCAAATGGCCACGATTTTCGCTGCCCCCAGTTCGAATCGCAAGAATGTACACATAGGCTGCTTTCAGACTTCAACGATTCAACCGACGTCCGTCCGTCCGGCTGGCCGGCGCGTTGCGTGTGCGTGTGCGACGAGAGCCTTAGCCACATGTTGACAACACTGAAACGTGATCCAGTGTCGTCAACAAGTGGCCGCCGTCGCACGCACGCAACGCGCCGGCCGACGTCGGTTAAATCGTTGAAGTCCGAAAGCAGCCATATCCGGGTGATGCGTGGGCAAATGCTGCGATTGCAGACTGCTGTCATGAGTAGAAGTAAGTAACACCGTTTGTTGTTGTGTCTCGGACCTCTTCATTTCAGGCAAACAACTCTTCGCATGCTTTCATCCATACAGATAGCTTCGAAAGCACTTAGCTACCACGATGTTAGTGCCCCTTTGACCGTGTTTAAGTGGGACTCTTTGAAACAAGCACATTCAGAGTCTCTCTTCAAAGCAGATATGCTCTTGCTTACGGTCGTTGGGGTTTGCTTATACCCAGCGAGCAGCTTTGAAGTCAGAACTGCGTATCTTGAAGACGTTGGATTTCTGCCTACCTCAATCTCCATTAGTGTACTCAGAGACACTCCTCAAATCTGTTGGTTGGTGAGCTTCAACAATACTTCTTTGTATTAGGCTTTACCGCAACTGCCGAAAAGCTCACGATAGTCAAGATTTCTTTCGGAATTATCGAAAGCTTCCATAGATATACTATAAAAAGTTACTATTAACTAGTGTGGGCATAATTTATCAAGGGGTTTCATGATATTGCATTCGGATGACAAGATGGAGTTTCACCGTCAACTTTTTTGTATCACGGTGAGAAATATTGGAATGACGTTTGCACAGAACAGCATAGAAGGAGCTTGAAGGCTAAGTGCTTGCCTCATCTTTTATAGGGCATCATCAGTGGAGCGGCCTAATTTGAACTCCTGAGGAAGTAAACAGAAAAGTGTGTGGGTAGACAGTTCGGTTATTACATGGTTAAGTAAGCAAGTAAGAGGCAGCCGGATATGTTATACGTATCACCTGTCGTCCCGTTTGGCAATAATTTATTTGAGCGGGTGCCAGTAACGTCTTCAAACGGCGATTTCTGACAAAATCATTTTCACTTCTTTTTTTGGCATTCAGAAGGCCATTTAGCGGAAATGGACCATAGTTCTATACTCAGTGCTCATGCCCCTACACCATGCAAAAAACCATTTTCAAAAAGCGTCCCACGCCCTGAAAGACCTTCCTTGTCAGAGCAGGAAAGACCAAGGGTTCTAAAGGTGAGCGCGAAGCCGGATGCTCTTTGCATCCTTTACTACTCCCCCTATATTCTTAGTTGCCCCCCACGCCCGCATTTTCGTCTGTTCAGCTCCTAAGCTAGGTCGTTGACGATGTTGTTCTCTCGACTTAGATAGTTGCTAGAACGTTTAGAGATATTCGTCCCGTTAAGCTTAGTCTTGAGCCGATCCTTCCACATGCGCTGTCGAATTCAAATTGTTGTAAAGTTGTAGAGCTCACAAAGCATTCTCGTGTATTACGTAGGAATGCCGTGATTGCTCAAGGCTCCAATTACAGCTTCTGTCTAGATAGTATCAAAAAACCTTGTCCCAATCTATGAACGCCAAACATAACGTCAACCTGTACCTTCGCGATACTTCAATGAGTCTTGTAATAAAGCGGATATTATCGATTATATCAAACCCTCTCCGCAACCATGCTTGCTCGCACGGCTGTTCTTAATCTAATATCCTGCCAACCCCGTTAAAGACGAATGAATGAGGTGAAAAGTTTGTAGATTCGAGCAGCAGGCAAATTGGGCGATATTTGCCAGGATCTCCCTTTTCACAGAGCAATACAGTTTTCTCGCAATGTTCTGGTTTGGTCGCTGTCGCGACCATTGCCTCAGAGCTTGACGCGTCGGTAGAAGGAAGCCCTGGACCACGGCAGAATGTGGTTATTGAAGTTGCCTACACCCTCAGGAATAAACTCAACGGAACGAATATCTCTGATCGTTCTAGCTACTATCTGAGTCGAGACGTCAACATCGTCAATGAACTAGCTTCGGAGCTGACCAGACGAAAATCGGACGTGGGGGATCGCGTGAGCGCGGTGGGGAAGTAGATCACATGCTAACCAATTTTTTTAGAGAAGAGAGAATGTAGGGTAGGAAACGCTCTACATGGGCATCTGTTGGTACCAGGCGTCATCGAACACTCTGCTGACTGTTTTCCATTACATCTCTGCTGCGCAATTAAATAATGTTTTGGGGCCCTAATCAATCCCTTCAGAAGGCAGTCGCGCATTAGACTTCCATTTAGAATCGTAGTAGCGTACTGAATGCGTATGTGGCCTACGCAATAACTTGGGGTGGCGGGCCGATGTACACCTCAGTGCTTTTCTTCACCTCCGCCCCGATGCGCAATTACCTACAATAAAACTAGAACAACATTTTCAATATAAATGTAATGACAGCTACGCTCTTGAAAGGATATTTTGTTCTTGAGTGCTTAACTCTAATGCGCGATTTCTGAAATGAAACGGGTTAAACAGTGTCGTTTATACGGAGCATAAAAATGTTTCACTGCTCTTCTCGAGTAGGATCGTAGATGAGCGGTTGTGGACATGTGATGCACGCATGAGCGTGCGTAGCTCACTGGTTTAAGAATATAGGGGGAGTAGTGAAGGAAACAAAGGGCATCCGGCTTCGCGCTCACCTTTAGAACACTTGGTCCTTCCTGCTCTGACAACTCTGCTCCTTCCGTCTTTCAGGCCGTGAGACGCTTTTTGAAAATGGTTTTTCGCATGGTGTAGGGGCATGAGCACTGAGTATAGAACTATGGTCCATTTCCGCTAAATGGCCTTCCGTATGCCAAGAAAGAAGTGAAAATGATTTTGTCAGAAATCGCCGTTTTAACCAATTAAGAGTCGTTCGTTTCATTCATGGGGTCGACTGTCCGCACAGTAGAA